AATGCACAGGAGGTAGAAGAGAAGCCAGATGACTGGGACTTTTAAAAAATTAAATTCTTATGCATATCGAAAGACTTTGTCAAAAGGGTAAAAAGAGAACCTACAGATTGGGAGAAAATATTTGCCTATGACATATCTGATAAAGGACTTCTCTCCAAAATCTATAGAAAACTTCAACATCTCAATACCAAAAAGACCAACAACCCAATTCAAAAATAGGCAAAAGACTTGAACAGACACTTCACTAAAGATGATATGCTGGGGGCCAACAGATAGATGAGGAATTGCTCATAATCTTTAGTCATTAGAGAGATGCAAATCAAAACAATGATGAGATATTCTCTCACTCCAGCAATAATAGCACAGTTCAACAGGACAGAAAATAACAAATGCTGGTGAGGTTGCAGAGAGATTGGAACACTTGTGCACTGCTCTTGTAAAATGGTAAAACCATTGTGGTAAACTGTATGCGTTTCTTTAAAAAACTGAAAATAGAAATACCATTTGACCCAGCAATTCCATTAGTAGGAATATATCCTAAACAGGTGAGAGGCAGAGCATGAACAGACATATGCACCACTATGTTCATCGCAGCACAATTCACTATAGCAAAGAGATGGAAACAACCTAAATGCCCATCAGTGGATGAATGGATAACCAAATTATGGTACATTCACACAATGGAATGTATGCTATGTTCAAGAGCAATGAAGGATATGTGAATCATCTCACAACATGGATGAGCCTGGAGGGCATTGTTGTTGTTGTTGTTGTATGTGCTGTCGAGTCGGACCTGACTCATAGCGATCCCTCCTTGGGTTTCCAAGGCAGTATCACTATGGAAGTAGATTGCTCCATCTTCCTTCCAAGGAATGGCTGGTGAGATTGAACCGCCAGCCTTCTGGTTAGCAGTCAAGTGCCTTAGGCACTATGCTATCAGAGCTCCTGGAGGGCATTATACTGAGTGAAATAAATCAATAGCAGAAGGATAAATAATGAGCCTATTACTATAAAAAGACAAAGAGGGTTTGCTTAAGAAAGGGAACTCACTTTGTTGGTTACCAGGGTGGGGGGGGGGAAGGGGAGGGATTAATTTTGGGCTAGTTGGGGGCCACATGCTGATGTGGGTAAGGGGAGGGATGGTATAAAAAGAGTCTGTGACCATCATGATAACATTAGAAAAAGGGAGGACACCGGATTGTGCACATAGGAGATAGACTACAGATGCTAATACTAACCAGTGTGCCTACAATACTGCATTATCATTAACACCAAACACCAGGGTACAGATAAACACATAACCATCTGAGAAGATCAGATGGGAGTCAGTGAACAGGAGTATACTCTAGACCAAGGATAGATTCAGTTGAGGCTAATCTTACATAGATACCAGTGATACAAAATGCCCACAATCCTTACAGAAACAACAGAAGACAGACATAGAGTAATCCCTTACAGACAACTAGACACTGTGGGAGAGATCCAACAGATCTACTGACTCAGGACCATAGTATTGGGGGACACCAGACTCAATTGGCACAACAAAATACATAAAAGTCTTGTTTCTCATCCTACATTGGTGAGTAGCGGCTGGAGTCTTAAAAGCTTTCAAGCAGCCTCTAAGATTCCCTAATGGTCTCCTATCGTTGGAAGTGAAGAAGAGTGCAAAAAAACAAGGAAGTTGGAAGCAATCGGCCCTAGGACATGATGGCCCTTGAGACCAGAAGAACTAGATGGTGCCTGCCTACCAATGCCAACCACTCAGGAAAGGATCAAATCTGGAGATCCCAGATAGAGTGGGAGGAAAAACATGGAACAAAATCCAAAAACTCAATAATGACCAGCATTACAAGTTGGATAGAGTCTGGTGAGACCCCCAATACTGTATGGTCCTGGGATACATTCTGGGCCTGGAATAAAACTCATTCCTGGGGGCTGGATCTCAGCCCAATAGTAAACAAGATGTACATGCAGACCACTCAACCTAGGGTGATGCACCCACATACTCTATGGAAATGTATCCCTTGGAGCAATCAACCACAGGGCACCAGAGGGACAACATTTACATGGAGGAAATGTAGGACACACAGGAGTGCATAACTATGAGGGGCACAGGTGGGAGGGGGGTTACTGGGCATGGAGGGGAGGAGACTGGGTTAGGGATGGGGATAGTAAATGGAGAGTGAAACTAAATGTACATGTAATGTTGAATGTAAAACAAACTCTGCTCTGTAAACTTTCACCTAAAGCACACACACACACACACACAGAATACCAATAAAATAATAAAATAATGAAATAAATAAATGAAGAATATACCCTTGACATACACTTTTCTTGATTTTAAACCACGCAGTATTCCCTTGTTCTTTTTGAACAACTGCTTCTTGGTCTATGTGCAAATTCCACATAAGCACAATTAAGTGTTTTGAAATTCCCATTCTTTGCAATGTTATCCATAATTTGTTATGATACACACAGTCAAATGCCTCTGCATAGTCAACAAAACACAGGTAAACATCTTTCTGGTATTCTCTACTTTCACCAAAGGTCCATTGACATCAGTAATGATATCCTCATTTCTTATTCTTTTCTGAGTCCAACTTGAATTTCTGGCAGTTTCCTGTCAACATACTTTGACAAACAGAACAATGGAACATGGATATTTACATCATTTTCTTTTCAAATCCTGCTACTCCAATGTGAATGATTCTTTCATATTTTGTTATAGATTTGATAGTGCTTGGAGAAAAAAACCCACTGCTGTGGAATTGATTCTGACTCACAGGGACCCTGTAAGTTAGAGTGGAACACCCCCATAGGGTTTCCAAGGCTTTAAATCTTTATGGAAATAGACTGCCACATTGTTCTCCCATGGAGCAACTGGTGGCTTTGAACAGTTGACCTCTTGATTAGCAGCTGAGTGCTTTAACCACTGCACCACGAAGTCTCCTTTCTCTCTTGAGAAGGTCTTAACAATCAGTCTTGTTTGATACCACACTTTGCTGGCCTTCAGGCCAGCACCCAATTGGATCTCGTGCCCACAGAAACAGTGCAGGATAGGGATGGCCTGAGGCTTCATCTACGTTGCAAACTCCTATCAGTAGGTTTAAGAGCTGTGTGATCTGGGGCAAATTTCTTAATCTCTCTGTGCTTCACTATTCTAGTCTATAAAATGGGGATAATAAAAATAATAAAGCTATCCCCTACCTCATAGGTTGTTAGGAAGATTAAATGATTTACTACTTGCCAAGCAACTAGAACAGTGCATAGTATATAAGTGTTATATAACTGTTACGTAAGTGTTAGAAAGATTTTAAATATAGGTCAACAACAACAACGAAAAGTTTAGAGTGCTGAGTAGGAAAGAATTAGTGATGCTAAGGAAGAGAGTTCTAGTAAACACTAGAGATGACTTCCATGTACATGGGAGAAGGGGATGATGCCAGAAGGACCATATATTGTCACACCTGGTAAATGATCTAATGGGTTCAGAACCAGATACAACTCTGAATGTGACATACTTGCAATTACTCTCCAACCTCTATTCTTCTTTCCTTTAGAGGGTCTGAAGTTTATTTTCTCAGAGGTAAAATGTATTAATTTATTCAACTTCATTTATTTATTTTTTTTCAGTTGAGCACCTACCTGGTTCAAAGCAGATGTTGTGTGCTAGGGATGCAGCAATATGCAAGCTAAGCATGGTTCCAGGTCTGATGAAGCTTTTGTTTTGGTGGGTAAAGAGCTATTATTACACAGGTAATTGTGCAATTAGTTATTTAATTATATGAAAAATACTCTGAAGGGTGAAGATAATGTGTAACAGGAGTCCTGTCCTAGTCCTGTGGTTCAAGGAAAGTGTTATTAAAGAAAATTACACATAAACTTAAAAGCTAAGAACTTAAAGGAACTAGTTAAACCAAAGGCTTGCCTTTGAGAAGAGAAAAGGGCATTCAAAGCAGAGGGAACAGTATAGGCAAAGGTTCCAGAATGCTTTCCTTCTGAAGAAAGACGGTGTAGTGGGTAGCGGATGTTTTACAGAATCATCACTTTCTCTCAAAGGCAGACTGTATTGGTACTATATAATTTTACAGGCATCACATAACATCAGTAAGGAATGTGGGAATTACTCTGTTTGGGACAGGGAAACCTTCATGTAGGAAATCATAGTAAGGTTTTAAAGGATGGATTGGGCTTCTGTAGACATAAATTGACTTGAGGATAAGAAGTATAGGCCAAATAAATGACTCTAAACTTTAAAATATTTTGGTTTGGCAATTTGGTAGATCTTTGTTTGATTGTTTGTTTTCTTTGCAAAAGTCCTTCCCTGGGCACCCACAAACATCCCACAAAATCTGCCACCAGAACCACTCACAATAAAGCTGTCCTGCTTACAAGTTTTGATAAGCTGTTTCGTTCTTTAATAATTAAGAAACAAGACCATTGTTCCCTACAAAATAGCTGAGGTTTTACTTAAACAAAATCTGTTTGGAAATGTTAAACTGGTTACGCAGAACTAATATGCCTCAAGGTGGTCATTCTCTTTGGATTAAAGCTGTGGAACAATTGTGGCTCCTGTTACAAGGAAAATAACAAAAGGCCATTATGAAGAGGGACAAAAATCTCTGTTCCCAGAAGGGGACTGACAAGCTGAAAGTCCCCCCTACATGCCAACACAAAAGCCTGATTGCCTAGGGTTGTTTGTTTATGTAAATCGAGAGGGTGCCATTAAATCTGCATGGAGGACTGCTAAGCAACAAAGATGATGATGATTGGCTGGATTCACACTCAGGGGCTGGTGGCAAATCTGACAGATTCTAATGCTTTTGCTCTAAACTCTGCTTGGACAATTTTAAGAAAAGAAGTTTGTTACTACATATTAAAGTAAAATTTCTTTATTCTTAGAGTAGGAGTTGAAATTATAGGAGTTGAAGGCAAGAGAATTTATCTCATCAACGATCTGCTCATTCAGTTTCTCCAAATCAGACTCAGCTGTCATCATGACAGATGTTCCAGTGACATTAAGTGGAGCTGAGTGTAATGGGGATGCACCACCTGAAAATGGGCAAGAACCAATCACTACAAAAATGGATGAAGCGACTAATGCAGATGGCACCCCAACATACTACAGGACAGACCCTAGTCTTGAAGATGTACCCATAGAAGAAAACCAGGAGGAAAGTGAAAAATCACAAGGGACCCTGCTACTCAACTGGTCTATGGATGAGAAATTCCTCAAAGGTAAAGTACCTTTGTGTTCCTCAATTTGCTTGTTTTGGTTTGTAAACTCACTCAGTTTCATAAACTGTTGTAACAGGAATGAACTGGACATCAAAAACAAAACAAAACAAATAGCACCTTATTTTACTGAGGCCGCATAGTATAAGGACTAATCCTCTGCCTTGGTGCAAATCTGGAATTATCTGTTTGATAGCTCTGTGATACCAGACAGCATTCCCAGCCTCATAAAGCCTCAATTTTCACTTTAGGAAAAAGCAGAACAGTAGTACCTACATTCAGAGAGTTGTTGTGAGAATTTAGAAAATTCATATATGCTGTCTGAATGTACTAAGTGTTGGTTAAATATTAACTATTGTCAATAACAGTAGAAAATTTTTATTATTATGAACAGTCTCATTGTTTGAACAAGGAGAATTCAGGCCTTCAAATTCTTCTAAATATATCAGAAAATGTCTGAATAATGGTTCTGTATTTTATATCAATTTAAAAGAGATTATTATTATGCCTATTAATAAATGGAACCAATGAAGAAATGAGTCAGTAATTTTCAGTCATCAAAATTAAAATTGAAATCTACCTAGAGTCTAAGTTGATCATTTATTTACCCTCAAGTTATTTAAATGTTTAAATATAAATGTTGTGTCTTTTCCCCCCAGAAAAACCAGAAGACGATGTCTTTATTGTTCATAAGGCTATCACAGATCTTTCTCTCCAAGAAACGAGTGCTGATGATATGACCTTCAGAGAAGGTAACCGGAACTGCCATTTTGTACACAGAAATTTTCTGAGTGAATATGAATGACAGTTTTTGCATGGGATGTTGTGTGACTGTGAGGTTACAAAAGCGTTCCACCCAATACCTTCAACAATGTACCCACTGCTGTGGGCAGATAAAGGAGTCTTGACTTATCTGCCTGTTCCACCTTAAAAAGCATTCCAGATGGTTTAAGACGAGGCTGCATAGATTACTACAGCTGATTGGCATGATTTGACCTAAGGATATGTCTCTGATTAAGTTAGTCCACTATGTCAACATTTCTTTTTAATTTGATGTTTCCAAATCTGTGTCAGGCACCTTGTGAACTGTCAATGTCTTAAAATGGGTTTTCAAAGAAGTCTACCATTGACATGTAGTTTAAAGTAATCTTAAAAACTGACTAACTCACTGCCATTGAGTCCAATCCAACTCATAGTGACCCCTCCTTGGGTTTCCTAGGCAGTGTCTCTATGGAAGTAGATTGCCAAATCTTCCTTCTGAGGAGTGGCTGGTGGGTTTGAACCACCAGCCTTCTGGTTAGCAGTCAAATGCCTTAGGCATTGTTGTTGTTGTTGTTATGTGCCGTCGAGTCGGACCCAACTCACAGTGACACCTCCTTGGGTTTCTGAGGAGGTTGTTGTTGTTGTTGTTGTTATGTGCTGTCGAGTCGGCCCCGACTCATAGCGACCGCTCCTTGGGTTTCCGAGGCAGTATCACTACGGAAGTAGGATTGCCCAACCTTCCTTCCGAGGAGTGGCTGGTGGGTTAGGCATTACCCGTAAGAAAATGCTAGATTTTTGATGTAAGCCCCAAATATTTACCTAATTCTTGTAAAAAAAAATCTCCTAGGGTGATAACGTTAATTGTGGTTGTGTCCTTTCAGAAAATGGGAAAACAAAAAGAACACGGGCTTTTAAGTGAGTACATTTGATTTAAAATAAACTCTATGGAGTAAGAACCATGAATTCTTTAGATGTCTGTTCTCAAAAGATGTCTACATTCAGTTTCCAAATAAAGTGCAAAGTAAAATCTATTTATTAATATTTATTTTTTTTATCTTTTAGCCATAAACATCTTATCTCAAAAGTGAAGTCAGGTTGTTAAGATCTAGCTCATTTAGTTTGATTAATATCTGGGGAGTTACAGACAAAATATTGAACAGATGATGGTTGAAATATTAGAACATCACACAAAATAGTATATGCCAAGTAATATGTGATTGGCAATTTCCTGCATTTGTTCCCTGTGCAGGGACACCTCTCACTCTGGGTCTATTTACCATTCAGTAGCTCATTGGATAGACACTTAAGGAAGAATTTAGTGAGCAAAAGTCATTGTCAAATTTTTACATTTTGAGAGAAAATTTATGACTTGCTGTTGTGTGCTGTCAAGTTGATTCTGACTCACAGTGACCCTGTAGGACAGAGTAGAACAGTCCCATAGGATTTCCCAGGATGTTATCTTTATGGGAGCAGACTGCTGAGTGTTTTCTCCTGCTGATGGGTTCAAACTACAAATCTTTTGTTTAGTGGCCAAGCACTTAACCATTGTGCCACCAGGGCTCCTTTAATAAAATTAAAACCAGAGAACCAAAAGCAAACTCCTTACCATTAAGTTGATTTAGACTCATAGCGACCCTGAAGGACAGAGTAGAACTGCCCTCAGTTTTGAAGGCTGTAAATCTTTATGGAAGCAGGCTGCCATAGTGTTCTCCCATAACAATTGTTGGGTTTGAACCAGAGAGTTCTTAGCAGCTGAATGCTTTAACCGCTGCTGCTGCTGCTTCTTTTTTTAAAATAAGATTTAACCTTCATTAAATGAACTAAATAACCACTTTGTCCTAATCTTTATGCTTTCAATGTGTCAAGTTCTCAGAGGCAGCAATCTCAATATTCCAGGTAGTGCCTCTGTCAAATTTCTGATCAGAAAATCCACTGTATGCAACAGTTTTCTAGAATAAAGTATCACACTTTGGCTGATTAAAGAATGAAAGAAGTCTGGATTTTTAGAGTGAGTTTCATCAGATAATTTTTCCCTGAGTTAATACTTTCTTATTAGAAGAAGCATATGTTTTTCCTGGATGATAGATAGGAGCATAGATTTTGGTGCCTTTTATTTTCACAATGGCAAACAGCTATATAATCTTTAAAGAGAATACTCTCAGATTAAAAAAAAATATTGTGATGGTAAAAAATATTGAGGAAAAAATGTAACTTAAACTCTAGAAATAATTTCATGTATGACAACCCCATGCTTGAGTCATGAGTATGAGCAAAAAGTTCAGTTTCTTTGGATCTTGTGGAAAAGACAAAACAGAAGGTATCTTAAGATTATAACAAATGCTCAACAGTGTACTTATTTCAAATGTAAAGAACATTGACTTGGCACTAACAATCTGGTAAGAGTTATGTGTAAGTAGCCAGAGGTGTTAATCCCGGTGTATACGCTTCTTTCTCTGCAAGTTTACAATAAAATTTCAAGAGCTGGGGAAATGAAAAGAGCAAAATACCTAGGATGTAAATGGATTTGTGAACATCTTTTCTGTGATTATAGAAGATTGTAAACCAAACTCAAACCAAACTCACCGCCATGGAGTTGTATCTGACTCATAGCGACCCCTCCTTGAGTTTCCCAGGCAGTATCACTACAGAAGTAGATTGACCAACCTTGGAAGTGGATTGCCTAACCTTCCTTGGGAGGAGTGGCTGTTGGGTTTGAACCGCCCGCCTTCTGGTTAGTGCTTAAATGTCTTAGGCACTACACCACCAGAGCTCCCAGAAAGGGGAAGGGCAAAAAGCAACATTGCCTTTCACCTTATTTATAGGCTCTTATAAGGAAGGTTGGGCAGTCTACTTCTGTAGTGATACCACTTTGGAAACCCAAGGAGGGGTCGCTATGAGTAGGATCAGACTCGATGGCCCTGCATGTGTGGAAAGAGAATGGTGAGCCCAAGCCTAATGAGGGATAGAACCCAGAAAACATTTTTGAATCATGTATGCTATGGACCAAAGTTTACCACAAAAATTCTTTAGAGTTAAAAGCCCAGGGAACAAACTCTGTTGTTGTTGTTGTTGTTATGTGCCGTCGAGTCGGACCTGACTCATAGTGACCCCTCCTTGGGTTTACAAGGCAGTATCACTATGGAAGTAGATTGCTCCATCTTCCTTCCGAGGAGTGGCTTGTTTAATACATATTATTGATAGTATACTGATATGATCTGTTTAAAACTGGAAATTGCCATAAATTAAGCCTTTTAGAAGTCACTACATGGTACCAAAATTTGTCAGTCACCTAGACTTGAGCGATATGTCTAAAACAGCAAGCTAACCTATCACTATGCAGATAGGACTTCAATGTGAACCTTAAATCTTGCCTCTCTTGAAATCCATGGTGAAGCTTACACTATATTTGTGTGCTTTGGCGGGCTTAGTGCCTAGGTTAGTACAGTATATGGCTCTGAACGTCTGTGGCCCTCTGCTTCTCCTGCATAGCTGGCTATTTTAGGTTAATTCTGAGAAGCACAGTGGCAAATTCTGAGCGTGCTACCTGAGTATGACCAAACACCAGCAGTTGGTCTTACTATTGGGACAAAGCCTTTTTTTTTTTCCCCTTGAGGCACCTTTTTAATTTTACTTGAGGAATGTGAGTGTGTGTGTGTGTATATGTGTGTATGGGTATATAAAATTAGATCCAAATATTTTATTTTACATATTCATATATTGAGTTGTGACAGACGGATTTTTTTTTTTAAGTATGTCTCTGGGAGCACAAGTCTCATTACAAATAATAATCCACAAAAAAAGAGTTTTATAATCAAATGAATTTTGTTGGCTTCTTTCTTGGAGTTACAATATCCATAAGCATTTTAAAGGCCTGATAACTTCTGAATAAGTTAATTTAACTGCATTTAATATAGTATTTCCCCAAACTAATTTGACTGGAAAGCCTTTCTATTGTGTAAAAAAAAAAAAAATTAGTAATCCACAGAATAATATCTCATAAAACACATGTTGGGAAATTCTTGTCCAGAAAAGTAGTTTGGAGAATAATAGGTGGCTATTTTGGAGTCTCTACATCTCACTACCAATTGATTTTGCTACAGGGCATCAGTGGAAGAAGATTCCTTTGAGCAGCAATAACCAAGAAACAATTAGACAGAAGGAAAGGAGTTTTGAAAAACCTCTAGAAGAAAGAGAAGACGGGGACAGTAAAAACAAAGCCTACGAGGCAACTGAAATTGAGTGGTTGGGATTTCAGAAACCTAACCAAGTTGACATGTTGCATTCTAAACATGATGAGGAGCAAGAGGGTTGGGATGAAGAAATTAATAATGATGATGATGATTGCCATGATGATGAAGATGAAGTTAGAGTGATAGAATTTAAGAAAAAAAATGAAGAAGGCTCTCAATTAAAAGGTGAAGGGGATGCAAGTGAAGACTCCCCCCTAAGCAGCCCCAGTTCCCAACCTGTGACACCAGATGAGCATCCAACTTTAGGGAAGAAGAATGACATCTCCAGAAATGCTTATTCAAGATACAATACAATATCCTATCGCAAAATCAGGAAGGGGAACACCAAGCAAAGAATTGATGAATTTGAATCCATGATGCATTTATAAACTAACTGGAACTGAGAAATTCTCATGTCTACTGAAGCAAAAGCTAATTATCATTTCCTGAGATGCACCTTTGGATGCATTATTTGAGTCATTCCTTTTAAAGACATGGAAACTTACTCTCGGTTTCACTGTTGAATAATGTGGAAATAACGCTAGACAGCATTTAGTCTGGTAATCTTATATCAAGAGAGATTAAATTCATTCTAGGGCATTTGCTTTTTACAATTTCACTAATACAGCATTACGTAACAAACACCAAATGGTCAGTGCCACTGGGGGACTCTGCCATGATTTGGATTTAAAGAGGTTAATGCTGGGAAACGTAGTCATCAAGTGAAAAAGATGACTACCTGAATGATGCCGATCATTCTTTTGATGTCTTTCTTTGTATGCATTGGCAGTGACGGAAAATCTGCTCTTAAACCTCTCTTACTTTTAAACATGGTTTTATAGACTGGCAATACATTTTCCAGATGCTTTTTCTTTCTTGCTCTCTTCAAGAAGATCGATTTTATGTGGTTTTCCTTGGCATCTACAGAGTAAAAATTCTATAGGCCTCCTCCCTAGGTGTTACCATTCATTGCATTTTTCTCAGTGCAAGGGCTGAGCAATTGTCAGCAGGGAGAGTTCTGTTTGCTAAATGTTGGCTTTATGCTGTCAAACTGAATTAAACCCATTGTGAGTTAGATACAAAGGAGACACTAGAAAATTACTGGGCAATAGACTAAAGAGTTATAGTCCATACTTTCATTTCTGTGGCTGAAAATAAAATCTTGTCTACACCAGTTAAAGTCATTAAAAATGAAAACGACAGCTTTATCACGCTTTTAAGAAAATGCCCCTCTCTCTGTATTACCATCCTTTCCCTTACTAACAGCTTCTCAGAATAATTTTCTTCCTTAGAAACCTGAGACAACTCTAGTCATAACTGTACTAGTCACTATGGAAGTGGAAATAATTATCTTAGAATGTTTTCAAAGTAGAGTATAAGTATGTATTTTTAGGACAAAGCTCTGTTAGTTGTTGGGAATATATAATTTACTGGACTTCAGCCCAAATCTAGATGTTTAAAAATATGCTTGTGGAGTGTCATTCAAACCAATATGTCAAATATTGTGTATTTATGAAAATGGAGAGTGTATTTATATTCTTCATAGATAGTTTGTTCCACAGTTTTTCATTTCATGCTTCCATATATATAATCCTGAACTTTCTGTCACCACAGTTAAAGATATTTTTGGCCCTGCAAATAAAAAGACAATTCCTTATTGTCTAAATGTAATACAGTCATTGTACTATTCAACCCTTTGTTTATTTCCTTTTCATTTTGTGAAAAATCCTGGGTTAGCCTTTCTTAGATTATTGCTTATTTATGTGTGACGAATCCCACCCATTCTAATGGCAATTTCCTTTCATTCATCCTGGTCATATTATACGTTTCCACAGTATCATGTACTCTTAGTTGAATTTTTTAAGACTCAATTTTGATGTCAGGATTCTATTTCCTCAGAGAGCTTATAAATGGACTTAATAAAAGTTCTTAATCAATACAGAACCTAAAGATCTGATTCTTCACAATACAAGTTTTCCGAATAAAGCCAAAGTCTTTACTGATAACATCAGGTGAAAGATTGATTCACTAAGACAATTTCTTGATTAATTTAGATCTTCTAAATCTTTCCACCTGGAGAGCCAATTTTCTTTTTTGGATTACTGATAACCCTTACAATTTTCTACTTAACTTAAATCACAGTATGTAATTGTACCATATTGTTAACCCACCACTAATACAACATGTATTTTGAGTTATTCCAGCAAAGGTGATATATTCCTGTAGAACTTTAGTAGAGTGGAAGTAAGTTTATGGCCTTCTGGCAAGGCAAGCCAGTTCTTATGGGGTTTTAACACATAGCAACCTGGCTTGGGCCCCACCCCCCTGCAGCTTTGTGTGCTTGTCAAATGATTAATGAATTTGGAAATATTTTGTCAATGAAGATTATTTTAGGGTGTGTTCAATTAGTGAGTATTTAATGCTCATGGATAAAGCAATGTAGTTGCAAAAGAGCACTGAAATTATTTTTTGTCATTGGTGCCCATTGCCCAATACTGCCATCTTATATCAAGGCCATAGATTAAGTGACCTTCAGTGACAGGATGGTGATAGATGGCTGTTAGATTCTTTTTAACTTAGGAAAAACAAAGGTCTGGTTCAGATTGCATGGAGACATTTAAAATGTTTGAAACTCATGTGAGAAATTATGAAGAACTCAAACTGGTCATTCAGATTTACCTGACCATTTATGGTTCAAGTTTCAGGGGTGGTAAAAAGGGCTCTGGTACCTGGTAGAAGTAAGAATTGATTTATTTTGGGATTGCTGATATTTTCTTACATTGATTTTTTGTTTTTCTTAGTTGCAGGGTGAATAAGAATTAATAACAGCTCTATTTCTGTGACACTACAAATGTGTACTTTGAATACACAGAATATGCCAGAAGATATTTGTTAACACTTTAAATAAAGAAATACTGTGTCCAACTTGCTCTCAAAAAGTTTGTGTCCTTGTTTGTTGTGTCTAGACTTTATTTTATTTACTTGCATTTTGAAATGTAGAACTCTTGCATATCAGTAGCTAATAAGACCATCAATGAGAGACTCTTTCGAAATCAAGAGACCATCCCATTTTAATTCATTTGTATTATTCATTTTAAAAAGTTCTTAAAATGTTTGTATTCAGCTTTTGAAATTGCAAAAATATTTTCCAGTAAATAGATATATAATGTACATGGAAATTTTCTATATTTTTTATAGGATCTGAGGTATTATTTTAGAGGCTTAACTCCAACTACTTGAAAAAAAAAAATATATATATATATCTTTGTAGTCATCAAGGTAATACATTTAAACCTTGGTGACACTTTCATGGCAATTATTTCTGCCTATTTACATGGATAGTACTTTTGGCATATTTTCAAATGTAGAACAGACATTTAAGTTTTTCAAGGTGATAGGAAAAATACTTAAAATAAGTAATAATAGAAAATTATGGAAAAGCATGAAACACCAGAGTATAATAAGGAAGAAATATGTTTGATCACATGAGAAAGACAGCCACTTCTTTTAAAGCCTGAACTTTTATTGCTCTACCAAGAGGGCTATAAAAAGTAATGTCAAAACTTATAGTAAACATTTGCCAATATTAGAATATCAGATAGTAACAGAACACAATAAATATGAAGACAATAAATAAAAATGTTTATACAATTCATGAAGAACATGAAGTGATTAGGCCATACAATCAACACAGACACAATGACATGACTACTGAGGAGCAGCAGAAATCTTCCAGATAACATGGCAACTACAAAATCAAAGGGTAACTTCTAGTTACTTACTGCCAGCTCTGGAGGAATTTTGGAAATGAGTTTGAAAAGTCATCTGGATTTATATCCAGAAATTTAAAGTGACGTATTTAGCTCCTTTTTTTAAAATAATAACTTCAGCTTATCCGGCAGAAAAATTAGTACTTAAAAATGTTCAAATAAACTCTAAATTATATTATGTTCCATAATTTCAATGTAGTTCTCCCACTAACAAGTGTTTATCAGCAAATCAATAATAAAATTCATTAATATGATCTTGATCTCCACTTGTTTTAAAGCCTACTTGCTATAACAATCAAAATTAGAAAAATTTGGGTGGCTATTTAAAGAAGAATTAAGCCATATGCATAATTCTAAACTAAGTAACCAATGTCTTGACAATTTAGAGTTGGATTACTCCTTTGAAATCTAGAAAAGAGTTTCCAGGGTACCTCAAATGTAGTCCACTTGTGACACTTCTGTCCAGAAGCCCAGATGTAGTCAAATATATATATACTTAAAAGAGGGTTAAAAATATTTCAAATATTCTTAATTTTCTTTACGTTTTAAGTAGAAGCCCCCAGTTTTTCTTTTTCCCAATTCAATGTATCAAATGAAGAAATTATAGATACAAGTTGATGAAGACTGATACATTTTTAAGTTGTCAAGTAAAGACAATCTGTGTGTGATATAAAAAATAAAAAATTAGTTCTAACTTCTAATATAAAGGCTTGATTTTTATAGATATATATGACCAGCATCCTTGAATTGGCAAATATCATCTATCATTCCACAATGTACAAAACCTTTTTTAAGGAAAATTACTTGTTACTTACTTGATGGTAACAGTCATCATCAGAATCTCAACATGTTTAAAGTTGCTCTATTTGTTGGAAAATGAGAAATTTTTATTATTTTTTTTGTGTGTTTGCAAAGCAAAGATTCATATAAATTTGCAAAGAGATCTTAATTGGAATAGTAGCTGTGAGATTCAAAACCAAAACCAAATCCAATGCCATGGAGTTGATTCCAACTCACAGAGATACTTATAGGACAGAGTAGAAATAATTTCCCCAGAGTTTCCAAGGCTGTAAATCTATATGGAAGCAGACTGCCTCATCTTTCTCCCACAAAGTGGCTGGTTGGTTTGGTTTGAACCTTTTGATTGGCAGCCAAATACCTTAAACACTGCACTACCAGAGCTTCTTTAGATCAGAAAGGGGCATTGAACCTGCTTAGTGTGAAAACAAAGGCGTTACATCTGCTTAGTGTGATGATATTTTTTTCTTTCTTTTAGATTCAGGCACCACCACCACTTGAAATACCATTCATTAAGCCTCATCAGGGATATACGATGCTTAATATAGATTATTGAACCCTTAATATGAAATAGTTATTTGCTAAAAATAAGTATTTTGTACAATAACTTTGGTTAGTGTTCATTTTCTAATTTTAAGACATTTTGATCTGAGCAGTTGTTGAGTAACCCATGCAAAAGTAGTTACAAAAGTACTATGGTGACAATCTACTCAATGAAATAAAGTTAAAAGTTGTAATTTGTGCTTTAAATCAAAAGATTCTTTATATTTTCATTTTCCAATTTAGGAATTTGTCAGCTTTGCTTAGTGTTCCAAGAAAGA